AAACAGCCACTCAGAGTCCCTTCCCTAGTGAAAACTTGGACCTGCCTTGGTCCAAGTCACCCGCCTCTGGCTCCTGCCCACCATTTTTTGCTTTGCATCACAACTAGATCCCTTGCTCAGCCAAGGCCTGACCCTCTTCTACCTGAGATGTCAAGGACTGAACATGGGGCCATTTAGCTGTGACTACATTTATGCCACATCCACACCATACATTTAAAGCACTATGATATCGCTTGAAACAACTGTGGCTTCCCCCACAAAAAGTCTGGGAGCTGTAGTTTGTTAAGGGTGCTGAGAGTAATTATGAGATTCCTCCTTTCCCCTCACAGAGTTACAGTTCTCAGAGTGGTTTAACAATCAATCCCTCTTCATGGGGAACTCTGGGAACTGTAGTTCCGGGAGGAGAATGGAGGCCTGCTAACAACTCTTACGACCCTTAACAAACTACAGTTCCCAGGGTTCTCTGAGGGAAGCCATGTCTGTTTTGAATGGTACCATAGTATTTAAATGTATGGCATGGACGCTATGTTAAAACCAGTTTGTCACACTACAGTGCAGTGTTATTCTGTCAATGACAGAACTTTAGATTGTGTAATCTATCACCATGAAAAGAAAAGAGAAGAGAAGAGAAGAGAAGAGAAGAGAAGAGAAGAGAAGAGAAGAGAAGCTGTTTGATAGGGATCTCGAAAACCAGGATTTTTTGAAGTCACTCCATCTAGGGCTGGCTGTTGCACTACTCTCTCAGGTGAAAAGCTATTCATACACAGTTTATGACCTATGAATCAACAGGCAGGCAGATGACACATTTTATGACCTATGAAGCAAAAGGTTCTCCAGTTTGGAAAGCTGACTTATTTGACTGTGTGATTTGGAGAGGTATTTGAGTCTATTAAAAATGGCTCCATTTTACCTCCTCTTCATATGCTGAGATGGAAGGTCTCTGCGCAAAAACCGAGGTCCTTTGGAACAACTAAGATCTCAGTCTGGATGCCTGACACCATGCCTGGTTAAGGGCACAAATGCTTAAACAATAATACGTTAGGGTACAAAGCACCTCACATATATTATTTCAACAACTCTATAAGATAGGCTGGTATTGTTCTCCCCACGGGGGTGGAGTGATGCTCACAGACAGGACTTCATGTTGAGCCTTCAAGGAGTTCATGAGAGACATGAGAGTTGAGTGGCATGATGTTCGGGTCCATGGCTGAGTCTCTTAGCTGCTGCCCTCAACTATGCATTACACTGTAGCCCCTTTTAACACATAACATTAGCCTGATACAGTGGCATAGCGTCAGTTGCCAGTGCCCGGGGCAGGCAGCATGCATTGGGCTCTGGCAGCCTAGCTCTTGCTGCCAGAGTGACCCCACTCCTACCAAAGCAAAGTGGGGCCACGCTGAGCCACCTGCCCACCCGCACAGTGGGGAGCCCAGCAAACCAACAAGGCCCTTAGTGGGTGGAGAGGAGCACTGGGTCAGCCCACGCTGGGGGCACCTACATGGGGGTGCCTGGTTCACACTCCCTCAAAAATTGAGCACCTGGGGTCGTGGACCCTCCCAGCCCCCCTGAATCCTGAAGAATTTGCCCTTTAAGTGTCTTTCTCCATGGGCCTTTCCAAAGTTGGGACCTTCACAAGCCCTCAGCAAAGCCCATCGGCAACTGCAATAGGACTTCTAGGAAGAATACAGAAGCCCAGATTTTATTGCCTATTAGTTATTAGGTATTACCTTGCCATGTTCTTCTCTGCTATTGCATTAGAGTAGATGATAAGTATATATTTCATGTTTAGGTTTTCGCATGCCTCCTTCTTATCCAAGCTGTAAATAAACTTTATCGCCTGCACTTTTGCTCACAGTGCTCAGAGTGCATCCTGGAAGAGACACCTGATGGGGTGCTATGAGGGAGAAGTTTTGCAAAGACTGCAGCACGCTAACATTTAGGTGGCTGGTTTTTTTACGCTTGCCGTTTTCAGTGTTGCTGCTGCTGCCCAGGGATCATTTAATACAGTTACTTAAAGTACAGTGGGGTGTATCTAATGTAGTTTAAGTCACTTAGCGGTATACTTGTTCCACAGGCGAAATATTTTGCGACAGAGGGATATTGTCGCACTACGGAATGCATAAGCAGGAGGCTGGCAAGTTGATTGTGCAACTGATTGTGCAATCGGTTGCACAGCGAGCTTCCACGAGCACAGCTGTCACGTTGGATTCCTCTGTCGTGCAATATTAAAACTCACCCACCCATTAGCACGAGAGCTTTCGCGTTACTGGACAGAAAATGTTGGCTACAACCCAACGGTTATTTACTTGTTTCTGGGAGGATGATTTGGCAAATAGGAGCCCTGCAGGAGGTTAAGGTTGTGGACATGGCCAATTGCCACAGTTGGAGGAAAGATTCCTTTCTGGTGCATCACATCGGCTAATTCTCAGAGCTGGGAGCAGCAGGCTGAGGTGCGGCAGGGACAGGATGCAGAGATATGACAGATTTCTTGTTGCTCTAACAAGGCTCAAATGGAGCAGGAAGCCCCCTTAGATTGCTTCTTGTCTAGCAGGACCAATGGCAAGGTAGAGAAGTAAGTCCAAAGTATCAAGGTTCTTCATGGAGAAGCTGCCAGCTGTCAGGGGCTGGACTGGATTGGAAGATCGGGGAATGCAATTGCAGGAAGATCAGCTCCTAACAGCAGAGAAGGGGGAATATTCACACACACACACCCCGACTCCAGCGTTTCCAGAAGCAGAGAGACAGGCAGACACAGAAGCTGCACAGTTAAGAGAGGAGCTACCCAGCTATGAGATAGTAGCTAAGCAACCAGAAGGGAGGGAGCAGCTGGGCAATACATCAGTCGACAGTGGGGGAGAACCCCCTCCCTCCTCCTGAACTTGGAGGTCAGAGCGTGTCAGAGAACAAAGGAGACGCAGGGGGGAGGGACTTCCCGTTGGCGTGTTTCTTGCTGCAGAAGTTAGGAGGAGTCAGAGTAGGCAACTGATATCCTTGTGGAGGGTTGCCAGTTTGTGCTTGTAATATAATGCTGAAATAAAAGGACTATAAATCTACCAAATGCTCGTTAATTCTTATTGGTGAGCTACCAGAAAGGAGAGGGGAACTCCCGTACTTGACACCAACTGTACTTCAGTGGCTCTCCGCATGGGGGAGATGCACACAGATCTACTAGCCTCTGACATCCAGTCAGTGTTTGTCCAATTCTTGATAGCGACATATACCACTCCCTACTCACACCAGATTTAAACTAGGGACATACATCACACTTACATTGTGCACGGCAATTGTGAGTCCCAGTGTGGAGCATGCCTCCTAAGAGGGCAGGCGATCCTGTGGAGCAATTTGTTGATACAATCACAATTGCACAGCAGAATTCTGAGGAACAGCTGTAGTTAAGTGGCAGAGGATCTGCTTTACAAGCCAAGGGTCCCAGGTTCAATCCCTGGTTTCCACATGTGGGGCTCAGAAATAACTCTGCCTGAAACCGAGGAGAATCGCTGCCACTCAGAGGAGACACAAACATCAACTACTTGGAGGGTCTGTAGGGAATGAGATTCTCTTAACAACTCTCAGCACCCTTAACAAACTACAGTTCCCATAATTCTTTGGGGGAAGCCATTTTGTATAAGAACTAGTACGAAAGAGGCCTCCCAGCATTCTCACAAGCCCATATAAGATAAGCATACACAGTTGGGCCTGGTGAGCATTTACTGTTCCCAACCCAAATCCTGCGGAAAGCCATCTAATTCAGATTTTAATTTTATCCTGACTTGTTTTTAAGAGGTGATTTAATTATTGTTTGATTTTATATCAGTGTTTATATTTGATGTTAGCCGCCCTGACTGGGGAGGGTGGGATACAAATAAAAGTTGTTTTATCATCATCATCATCATTATTAATTTCAAGTGGTATCATGGTGCTTTAAATGTATGGTGTGGATGTTGCTTCAATCTTGCCTGTATAGCAAATCCTACCTGCTGTGCTGAGTTGCTGTTCTGTTGTTGATGCATAAATACAGATATCGAAGTTACTCTCATTCTTCGTGTCAGGACACACCCATTTGCAAGGTTTCCTCACATAGCAAGTGCAGACCCTCCAGGTGTCCCTATTTTGTAGGGACGTCCCTGATTTAGAGAAGCCATCTCAGTTTCTGATCTGATCCTGGAATGTCCCACTTTTCCTTAGGATGTCCCTATTTTCGTTGGAGAAACATTGGAGGTTATGGAGTTATCCGATCCCTGAGCCGTCTGAAGGCAATCCTATATAGGGAAGTTTGTTTAACGTTTTATTGCATTTTTATATATGTTGATAGCTGCCCAGAGTGGCTGGGGCAACCCAATAAGATGTGTGGGGTATAAATAGTAAAATTATCATTATGGAATGGGACGTCCCTATTTTCATCAGAGAAATGTTGGAGAGTATGTGAGTGCCCTTCTCAAACCCTCACAATACTACATCTGCCACCTCCCAAAGCAAGGGCTTTTCAGGAAACTCTGTATGGTCCTGTTCACAAATATCAGCTCACCCAACCTCTTCTGAACTAGAGCAATAAGCCTCAAAGCAGGCCCATCAGATCGCTTTCAGAACTTCGTGAACTCTGTCTCCGTGGGCGTGAATCTCGCTTTTAAGTATTTTATAAAAATGTCACACAGTCTCACCTGTCACTGTGCCAGAATCCAAATGCCGGTTTTAATTATACCGAATATTTCATTTTCTTATGCAGAGGCATAATCAATTATCTTATTTAAAGGCATTACGATAATGTGTGTGTAAAATGGATCCCTTCCCTGTGTTGCATTAGATTCAACTAATTATAGGAGAATGTTGTGGAGCTAAAATGTCAGCCTGTCATCTGGGCGGGTGTGTAATTCATGAGACGCATTCATAGGAGCACGCGTGAGGCCGCCGACAGAAACTTAAGAGCTGTTTGGCTTCGAAACCTCCTTGGCTTGGTCTAGCCTGGTCTGGAGGGGGAAATGCATGTGTCCCCAGGTCTTGGAGAAAGGACATGGCTTGGTGGTAGAGCATCTGCCTTGCAGGCAGAAGGTCCTTGGTTCAATCCTCAGCACTTGCAGGTAAGCCTGGGAGAGAACCTTGCCTCAAATCCTGGAGAGCCAATGTCAGTCAGTGCAGACAATATTGAGCTAGATGAACCAATGTGACTCAGTAAGAGGCAGCTTCCTATGTTCCTGTGTCCTCTAGAATCAGCTATCCCTCACCTGGTGCCCTCCATATCTTTTGGACTGCAATTCCCACCAGCCCCACTAGCTTCTGGAGTTGTAGTCCAAAATACAGTGGTACCTCAGGTTATATATGCTTCAGGTTACATACACTTCAGGTTACAGACTCTGCTAACCCAGAAATATTACCTGGGGTTAAGAACTTTGCTTCAGGATGAGAACAGAAATCGTGCAGCGGCGGTGCAGTGGCAGCAGGAGGTCCCATTATCTAAAGTGGTGCTTCAGGTTAAGAACAGTTTCAGGTTAAGAAAAGACCTCCAGAATGAATTAAGTTCTTAACCCGAGGTACAACTGTATCTGTATGGATGCCTTGTTGGATAGGTGAAGGAGGAGCTACTACAGGCAAGGCCCTGCATCAGGTCCTGGCATCTAACAGTTGCTAGGGGCCCTCAGATCCCAGAAGAACCTAGGAGTGCTGATGCCTACCCTAACCCCCATGTTTGCCAGTTGGGTCATCATTTACCTGACCAGGTGACCTGTGTACCTGTTCTGTCTGTTGTCCAGGATCTACTGACTGCTGATGGGCAGTCAGTAGAACTTTCTTAGGGTTCTTGATCTTTAAACTGCACACAGAAGATGCCTTCAGATTAGAGATTAGTGATTTCTATCCTGTCCTGTGTTTATCACAATCAATGCTGTTTCAAGTCTGCTACAGTTCGGCTTCTGCTGTGTGTCTTACTCACTCACTCAATGTGTCCTAAAAACATATACAGTCATACCTCTTGTTACGTTTGCTTCAGGTTGTGTTTTTTCAGGTTGCGTCCTGCGGCGACCTGAAAGTACCGAAAAGGGTTACTTCAGGGTTTCGCCGCTTGCGCATGTGCAGATGCGCAAAATGATGTCACGTGCATGCACAGAAGTGGTGAATCGCGACCTGCGCATGCGCAGATGCGCAGATGCAGGTTGCATTCCTTTCATGTTGCGAACGGGCCTCCGGAACGGATCCTGTTCGCAACCAGAGGTACCACTGTAATTCACTATGTAATCAATAATTTGACCAATTTCAGGGAATTTCAATGGAAATCCAACGTCAAAGACAATTATTGTTTACATGACTCCTGCTGACTAAAAAAACAAAAATAGCGAATTCCGCACGTATAAGCTTTCATGATTTCCATTCCTCACTGCTAATGACCATGTGGGTTGCAGCAAGCTTCACTCCCACTTCTGTTTTGGATGGCATTCTCCGACATCCTTACTACAGTTAGGGGATATTCCTTTGCAAAATGGACATATGACCCCTGCTAAGCCTGCTATTGGTTTTTTGTTTTTCCCCTGGACCACAGGTGTTGATCCCCTGCATTGCCTCCAGATCTTCACCCCCATGCTTGGGATGCTAGGCTCCTCCCTCTACTTCCAGTTCAGCCTGTGGCCTGCTGGCGCCCGCTGATGACATCACTTCCAGCTGCCACCAGCCACAGCTGATCAGGGTAGGCTGCTCCTCTGTGCCGATACTGAAAGAAGGGAGGGCATGTTTCTCGTTCCACACCCATCTACTCACAAGTGCTCACCAACTCTGTGATGCAAGCTGGTTTGTAGAGCTGAATCTCAGGGTCAGGAGAGAGAAAATTAATACCTTCTTGTTCCTCTTAGTTCTGCTGTCAAGGAAAATAGGGTATTTTGTTTGTGTGCGCATTTGTTTACACAGAAGTTTACTGAGCGAGTGGGTGTGTTGCCTGACCTCTGTTTGGAAACCAAAGAAATGATTGAAAGGAGAGCTATGTGAGAAAGGGGGGTGGGGACAAATTGTACAGCTGGTTTCTGATTTGCACAAACCTTTCTCTTTGTGTCTATGTGTGACCAAAGACACCTATTCCACATAGATCCAGACAAAGACCTTGAAGAGGGCTCTCTAACGAAAAGCCACCCAACAGAGTGAGCTGAACTCCCGGCTGAAGTGCGCTTAGCTGTGTTGCTAAGCAAACAGACTGGCACATCCTCACCTCAGACAATGGGGCTTTTATTGTTGCGCATGGGGGATTTGTTCTGGGATATTATTACTGAACTGAACAGTGTGTTAGAGCCGAGCCTGTTCTCTGACTTACACAATAACCCGGCAAGCAGTGGTTTTTTAAGGAAAAAAGTGCCGGTGCTCACCATGAAGTTGTTACAGTAAGTGCCACACTTTTAATATTTGGGGGATAAAGGCACCGGTACTGCGTACCCTTGCGTACACCCATTTAAAAAAGCACTGCCTGCAAGGAAGGTTGAGTAGAAACAGCAAGGCAAGGGCTGCCCCACTTTGGACTGAAGCTGCTTCACTCCAAGAGCCAGACTTGGAATAAGCTGAGCAGTCGTGTGCCAAGACCCCTTGACCTCGCAGTTCCCAGGGAGTAAATAACCAGACAAGACAAGAGCAGATAGTTTTGGAGGTCAAACAGGCCACAACTTTTATTGCTTACAGATGTGAACGGTTTGGCATAGGCATTGGGTGAAGCCACATTATTCCACTCCAGCCCACTTGCTGGGAGTGCATCTAAGGGTAAACCCAACTGGGGGGGGTATGAACTTCCTACCCCCCAAAGGGTAACAGTTGGAAGAGTTTTATGGTCCTAGCCTCCTCCTGGGCATTGGACAGAAGCCACTCCTCCTAGATCCCTTTAACAGGATACCCTTAGCCAAAGAGAGGCAGGCAGAGGCTACAACCTCCCCTCCAGCCATGGCCAAGGCTTACCTAATGCGTAACCTCACAGAGTTGTGATGATTGCTGTGAGGTAGCTGAAAACCAAATGGCCGATGCCAGTTTGCCAAGTGGGGGGAAATCCTTCCCTGGCCCCGAATATGGCAGCACACAATGTCAATAGCAAGGTTGTACCATAAACAGAACCCAATTAATTAAAGGGAAGGGGCGGAGACCAGGCAAGAAAAAAAGGTGGCTGAGGGGGAGAGCTGAGTGCGGCCACAATTTATTCCCCCGGGGAGCGGGCCCACCCAACGCTCATTGGCCAGTTGGGCACGCCCCGCCCCCCAGTGTTACCTGCTGGCATTGGCCAATCGCTGGCAAGCAGCCCCATCCTGAACCAGCCAGCTGCCAGATCACTAGCATGGTCATGGCCCGGCTGCAACACTGCCCACCTTCAAAGGTGAGTGGGCTTCTGATCACCGCAGGAGCTTCCCAAGTTCAATCCCTGGCTTCTCCAGGTAGGGCTGGGAGAGACCCCTGTCTGAAACCCCAGAGAGCCCCTGCCAGTCAGTGTAGGCAACACTAAGTTAGAAGGACTCAACGTAAAGCAACTTCCTCTGTTCCTAAAAGTCTCCCTCCCTCCCTCCCTCCCTCCCTCCCTCCCTCATCATACTAGACCTCCTGACTTGCAGGAAATTCAGGACAGACCAAAAATAATAATACTTGTTTTAAACACCACTTAATTAATGTAGGGAATTAGCTGCTTCAAGAGCTAACGATGGTCACTAGGGTTAATTGGCTTTTAAACACAAATCAAAAAAAGCACTTACAACAAACTTTAGACATTAATACAAATTTAGATGGTTAGTTTAACAAGCTGACAAAATTCTGTATCTGAAATACTATTGACACAGTTTTAAATATCCAATGGTTTCCTTTTAAACCCAACAATCTTGTTTTTAGCACATGTTAGAATAGATTACCCTCCAACATGCCACTGATGAAAACTGGGACGCACGTCTTTTGGTGCTGTGTTCCTGCGGGAGCCACCTAACTTGTGTGAGAGCTGGGTGGTGGTGGAGGAGCTGGAGGGGGGTGGGAATGGGGCATTCTGGGATCCAACCAGAAGCCGGCATGGCTTCTGTAATTGTGGGAATGTCCTGGGAAAATTGGGATGGTTGAGGGGTGTTGAATAGGCTATACTGTAGTCTGCTTTCTCTCCTTCAACCCTCATTTAGTCTTATACACAGAATCCCAGTTCCCAGCTTCTCATAAGTTTTCCCATAGCTAGGGCTCTTCATTATCAGGGTAATGATTGCTACTGGGTCTCATATTTTCCCCATTCTTCTTCATAACTGCTGGGACTTAGGAGCTTGAATTGCCCTTCCACGTGTTTGCAAAATGTATGCAAGCTAATTGTGAACATATATAAAATTATAATCGGGTTCTCTAACAAGAAAAACTCTTCACCAGGGTTTAGAAATCACACCCCTGCACCCATTTTTACTGGAAGCTGAAATGTTTCACAAATCTCTATGAAATAAAGTTTCATAAAGATGCACCCCTTTATCCTGGCCTTTGACACCTGAAAGGGGTGTTTTTAGGTCCCACCGTATTCCTGTAATTTGTTTTCAATTCATTTTAATGCTGAATTTTAAATCGCTGTAGTAATAAAAATAAAAATAAAAAAATTATTAAAAACTTCCCTAAACAGGGCTGCCTTCAGATGTCTTCTAAAAGTCAGATAGTTGTTTATTTCCTTGACATCTGGTGGCAGGGCGTTCCACAGGGTGGGCGCCACCACCGAGAAGGCCCTCTGCCTGGTTCCCTGTAACTTGGCTTCTCGCAGGGAAGGAACTGCCAGAAGGCCCTCGGAGCTGGACCTCTGTGTCTAGGATGAACAATGGGGGTGGAGACGCTCCTTCGGGTATCCTGGGCCGAGGCCCTTGAGGGCTTTAAAGGTCAGCACCAACCCTTTGAATTGTGCTCGGAAACATAGCTCACCTTGGGCAGGTAAAAAAATTAAAAGCATTTCCCCCAACACCCTCCTTTGATAGCTAACCCAGGGATAGGAAATGGATGCCCCTTCAGATGTTATTGAATGTTTCATCCCTGCGCATTGGCCATGCTGGCTGGAGCTGATGAGAGTTGTACTCCAGCAATGTCGGGAAATCTTCAGAGATCTTTTCTGTGATCTACCGTATTTTTCACTCAATAAGACGCACTTTTCCCCTCCTAAAAGGGGGAAATGTGTGTGCGTCTTATGGAGCGAATGCAGGCGGGAGGCTCTGCTCAGCGCTCCCTTTAAAGAGCCCCGTGGAGCATGTGTGAGGCTCTTGGTGGCTTTTCCCTGAGGAGGAAGAAGGGCTGCCACGCGCTCTTTAAAGGGAGCGCAGCTCTTGGGGGAGCCTTAGCCACGCACAGCCTCTCCCAGGCAGGGGATGAAGGCTCCCTTTGCCCGGGAGAGGCTGCGCGCGGCTATCCCATAAGCCAGGACAGCCAGCGGGATTCAGAATATTTTTTTTCTTGTTTTCTTCTTCCAAAAACTAGGTGCGTCTTATGGTCTGGTGCGTCTTATAGAGCAGAAAAAAATGGTGATCACTTTCCCACAGTCCTAACCCCAGGCCTGGCTCTCGTCTATTTCTCCTAGGTTGGGCCAACTGGACAGAAAGGGTGGTGGGAAGCAGCCTGGCCTGTCCCTGCTCCCTCATGAGAGGTTTGCTTTGCAGACATGATGTATTTCCTGGCATGGTGCTAAACATGATCACCAGTTGATGAACACAGATCAAACTGCTATGGCAGGAACCACTGGGAGAGTGAGCTGGTTCAAAAATCAGCCATTCTGTGGATCCATTGGCACTTGTATTTCAGTGGCAGTGCCTAAATTTCTGGTGCTTCTCCCTGGTGAAAGCACTTTCCTTATATTGCCATTAGAGGAGATGCTAGCTAGGCCTTGTCTTACGGAGAATGGGTTTATGTATGCACACATGCACCATATAATTTATAGGTGCAATATAAGCCGCCGTGCGCGGCAGCTGTGAAGAAGGCAAATTCCATGCTAGGGATTATTAGCAAATGGATTGAAAATAAAACTGCCAGAAACACAATGCCCTTAAAACAAATCTATGGCCTGGCCACACTTGAAATGCTGTATACACTTCCGGTTCTCCCAACTCAAAAAGGGTTGGGAAAGACACAGAAAAGAACAACCAAAAATATCCGGGGATGAGAGAAAGTTTAGAGTTTAGTTTAGAGAAAGGGACTAGCAAGGGAAATGCGCTAAAGGTCAGTGGTTTGAATCTGCGCAACAGGGTGAGCTCCAGTTGCTCTGTCCCAGCTCCTGCCAACCTAGCAGTTCTAAAGCAGGCCAGTGCAAGTAGATAAAGAGGTACCGCTGCAGCGGGAAGGTAAATGGCGTTTCTGTGTGCTCTGGTTTCTGTCACGGTGTTCTGTTGCGCCAGAAGCGGTTTAGTCCTGCTGGCCACATGATCTGGAAAGCTGTCTGTGGACAAATGCCGGCTCCCTCACCCTGAAAGCGAGAGGAGCTCTGCAACCCCATAGTCACCTTTGACTGGACTTAACCGTCCAGGGGTCCTTTTGCTAGGTGTGGAGAGAGATTCTAGGTTCTCATCCATTTAGAACTGAATGAGTTCTAGGTTCTCATCCAACCTGCCTACCACCAGGTCCTGTATTTTGCCAGAACAAAGGTGGCAACCCTAAGGTGGAGTGGCAGATGAAACTAATGGAGTATGTAGAATATGCAGGGATTTAAGATATGTAAAATGAACCATGGAAAGAGAAGAAGGGGAGTCACTGATATCTTAGGTATGTAAAATGAGTATTTGAAATTGTAAAACAGAACATTTAATAAAAATTAGCAAGTTTAACAGGTAAAATTAGAGACAAGTTTTAAAGAGGAATGGAAATTATTTGTAGATTATTTTTTAAAATTACTGTAAAATGGTAGCCAGTTTGGAGTAAGCTCAGCAGCTGAAAATTGTTATGAGAAAGATTTGGATGGAAAAATGACTAGAAAAGTTAGAATATGCAGCAAGTGTAACAGATAACTTTAGGAAACCATGGAAAGATGGAAGAGGAGTTGACTAAAAAAGAAATTATTAATGAATGTATTGTATTTTTTCTGTTTCTGTTTATTTTGAAAAAAATATAAATAATAAAAAAGAACAAAGGTGGCAGCCCTAGTCCTGACCCAATGGCACTGCCTTCCTGCCCCCCTGATATGCTGCTGCTGTGACCTAGGCTGCCATTCTGTGTCCCTGAAATGATTTGCACAGATCTGGCAAACGAAACAAAGCTATGGTGGGAGGTGAATTGCTGTGCCCTCACCTCAGAAAGGCAGGTCTCTCTGCCCAATTCTGACTCAAAAGCACATCCCATAAAAAACCTAACAAGTATCTCCCATTACGGCTTCAGAGCTGCGGTTAGAGAGTGGGCAGGCATTAATAAACCCACAGAGTTAAGACGGTTCTAGCGTGGGACTAATTGGTGCCATAAAGTTAAAGCCTGCCACTTAAGGCTTTGGTTGGGAGCCGGCCCTTCCATTTACCAAGCTCCCCGTGCGTCCGAAAGGGCATCGCGCTTGCTAATAAGTGTTAAATTGGAGCATCAAATTTTAATAAACCTCTTAATGGATTGGCAGGGATCCCTCTGACACAGCACCTGGGGGCCAAAGTAAAACAGGGGTGCCAAAAGTCTGCAGAGCTGGAAGGAGCTGGCTTTAGAAAAAAATTAAAATCATCACCTCCCAATTTTCCACTGTGAATATGGAAGTGGAATATTCTCCAGATCAGGAGTGAGGTCAAGGCCTGCATTTCTTTCTGGCCAAACCTTTGAGCACATAGCAGTACTAGGTGGGTCCAGAGCTATAAGTGGGCAGTGCAATTAATATAAATTTCTGGAAAAGAGGAGACTGAGAGGCAATATGATAGCCATCTTCAAATATGTCAAGGGCTGTCACATGGAAGAGGGAACAAGCTTGTTTTCTCCTGCTCTGGAGGGTAGGACTCAAACCAATGGCTTCAAGTTACAAGAAAGGAGATTCTGACTAAACATCAGGAAAAAATTGGGAGGTTATTATTCTCCTTCCTCAGAGTGTTTAAGCAGATGTTGGATGGCCATCCGTCATGGCTGCTTAGCCGAGATTCCCGCATTGCAGGGGGTTGGACTAGATGACCCCTGGGCTCCCTTCCAACCCTACAATGATTCTAGGATTCTGTGAATCTGCACACACTCATACATCCCTCTTCATTCTCCATTTGGCCAAGCAAGAAGCATTGTGAGAGTTCAACAACACATTTCAGCCAGGCAAAACCATTTGAGGAAGGAGTGAAACAGGTTCAGTGTATAGCCAGGGAGGGTTTGTGTCCTGGGAAAAGACCAAGGGCCAGATAAAGAAGTCCAGAGGGCCACATTCAGTCCTCAGGCCTGAAGTGTCTCCACCCCGCTCTATGTATTCTCTGACATTCACTTGATTTTTAAGAAATATTTCCCAAATATTTGATATCTGCACCTGACTTTCTGCAACATTCGAGCTCAGTATTCAGCAGTCTTGTTTATGAACATGCAGTGGTGTTTAGCTCATGATGGTATTCCATAATTAGCATGCAGTTGCACTTAGTATCTGAACGACTTGCAATGGTATAGTTGGAAGTTTAGGACACTCCCGATTCGGTCCGTGCCAAAATATCCAAGGGATGCCAGTCAAGTCATGAAGCAACTGGATGCAAAGGTAAAAACATTCCCAGTCAACATGCAAATTAGAATTTTCACTTTCAGATCTTAAAATTTAATGGCACTGGATATTTGGGCAAGTTTTAGATATTTGCTCCATGTCGGTTCTGCTGCAACATCATTGCAAAACTCACGGCAGGACTGCTAAGCAGTATTGACGGGATCCCTAATTGTATCACCATAAACATGGTTTATAGTGATGTAACGGCTGTCAGGTTCATGTCTGCGCTGCACTAAATCACCCCCGTCAGTTTCGTAGGACATTTAACTGGTCACTCAGCTGCTGCTACTGATTTGTGGCACTGCACTGTAGCTGCGCCCACCGGCAATCTCTTCGCCCGCTCAACCTTTCCACCCACTCTTTCAATGGGAAGTCAATGATCTATGCATGTGTGCGGAATCTTCTTAAATGTGCAGAACACTTCTCTCTCACACCACTTTCTGAAAGGCACCAGCATCTCCAAAATAGGGATCTGCATATGGTGTCCAGGCTCCTTTACCCTCTGCACCACCATAACAGTTTAGACATGGAGCCTTGCTGCTCCACAGCACTCCCCCTGGCTGTGGTGAAAAGGGGAACTGCAGCCTGCTAGTCTGCCAAGGTGGCAGGTGACGTGGGGAGCCATTAGGGACCCTCTAGCCTCATTTAAAGGTAAAGGGACCCCTGACCATTAGGTCCAGTTGTGACCGACTCTGGGGTTGCAGCGCTCATCTCGCTTTATTGGCCAAGGCTTTATTGGCATACAGCTTCCGGGTCATGTGGCCAGCATGACTAAGCCACTTCTGGCGAACCAGAGCAGCGCACGGAAATGCCATTTACCTTCCCGCCGGAGCAGTACGTATTTATTTACTTGCACTTTGAAGTGCTTTCGAACTGCTAGGTTGGCAGGAGCAGGGACCGAGCAATGGGAGCTCAGCCCATCGCAGGGATTCGAACCACCAACCTTCTGATCAGCAACTCCTAGGCTTTGTTGTTTAATCCACAGTGCCACCCGCATCCCAGAACTTATCTAATGTGGGCTCTCCACTTTGAGCAACTTGTTTGCAAGCGAAGGTGACTCGCCTTCAGTCAAAGCTTGCTGAGGCAATCTGACGTTGCTGGTCTACAGTTCCCATCATTCCTGATGACTGACTGTATGACTGGGGTTGATAGAGTGCAACATCACCTAGAGCGCCACTGGTTTTGCATATCTGCTCTTAAGGTTTCCAGAACACCTAGCGATAAACAATAGCTCCAACAATGGCACTGAAGCAACAGTGATTGTTATGGAGCAATGTCACAGCCCTTTACAGCACTGTCAGTCATCTGATTGTTGGCGCCTACAAAGGCCTAGGCGTTGCAAGCTCCACAAATCAGCTGGTTGTACCTTTGCCTGCATGGCTTGATTTCATACTGTGCGGGTAAAGGAAAGTGGGCCAGGTGGCATCACTGTTGGCAGCCCTGTCCGAAGTTGGCCCACAGCAGCAGGGCAGATACCGTATTTTTTGCTCTATAAGACTCACTTTTTCCCTCCTAAAAAGTAAGGGGAAATGTGTGTGCATCTTATGGAGTGAATGCAGGCTGCGCAGCTATCCCAGAAGCCAGAACAGCAAGAGGGATCGCTGCTTTCGCTGTGCAGCGATCCCTCTTGTTGTTCTGACTTCTGAGATTCAGAATATTTTTTTTCTTGTTTTCCCACTCCAAAAACTAGGTGCTTATTATGGTCTGGTGTGTCTTATAGAGCGAAAAATATGGCAAAGATTTGGCCTGCCATTTTGATCCAATTCCCTGCCCCTGACTATATGAACTTTGTTGTTGTTGTTGTTTAGTCATTTAGTCATGTCCGACTCTTCGTGACCCCATGGACCAGAGCACGCCAGGCACTCCTGTCTTCCACTGCCTCCCGCAGTTTGGTCAAACTCATGCTGGTAGCTTCGAGAACACTATCCAACCATCTCGTCCTCTGTCGTCCCCTTCTCCTTGTGCCCTCAATCTTTCCCAACATCAGGGTCTTTTCCAGGGAGTCTTCTCTTCTCATGAGGTGGCCAAAGTATTGGAGCCTCAGCTTCAGGATCTGTCCTTCCAGTGAGCACTCAGGGCTGATGTCCTTCAGAATGGATAGGTTTGATCTTCTTGCAGTCCATGGGACTCTCAAGCTATATGAACTAGTTGTTACTTAAAGAACGCAGACGGAATCTGGAGAGAAAAGAAATCCTGATAACACTTTGCTAGGCAAAACTGAATGAAAGCAAGTGTTAAGAAATTACTTACTGGCAGGTAGTGTTGCAATAAATTTCCCTGGTCTTCAGTAAGCACTTTTAATCCGGTCCAGCTTCAGCTATTCCAGGTTCTCTTTTCTTCCTGGGAGATTCCTCCCCCAGTGTAGATAGAGAGGTCTCATGCTTAGATTCGGTTTTGTGCCTCCAAGTCCCAGGTTTAAGATTTTATAGCCTGTATTTCCCAAGCTTTTCCAGGCAAAAATATTTTTTGCTTTTAACTTTCTACTCTGCCAAAGTTTCAATCTGTCAAAATATCTCTCTCCAACTGTCAACTGTATCTCATAGTTACCCTATTGAAGAGCAACCTGACACAACTGTAGCCAATATGTATCCAAAAGAAAGGCAATCTCTTAAAACACAAAGTTACTAACAAGTCTCCATTAGCTGCTGCTGCTGTGCTCTGCTCCCATTCACGAAAAGAAAGCCCTTGCAGAGCCTGTCCACAGAAATCGGAAGCTGACTTCCTTTTTTACTTCCGTTTTGCCAAATCAAATAATTTAATCTAAATTCCTTCTTCAGGCTTTATTTGTCTTATTTACCTCTAATTGGAAAATCCACTGCTTGCAGACGGCATGTGGCTTGGGCTGTAGGGTGCGATGGAGCCGTGAGCGGACTCAACCCTCTTCCCTTCTCGCCTTGCAAAGACAGCGATAGGGAGGTCAGGGTGAAGCGAGTTCTCTCACTCTGCTGGACCCCTGGAATCCCCTCTTACCCATGGGGGTTTTTCGGGGGGTCACCTAGCCCTGGCGTTTCCCCCCGGAGCCCTAGCAGCTAGAACCGTGTCGTCCTTTACTCCAATGACACAGAGCGCGCTGCCATTCCCTCTGCAGCAGACTGAGGGGGAAAGTGTTGCCTTTCTTACTTCACGCCTTGTTCAGAACAGGGAGACATTCAACCAAATATACAGAAGAGCTCCCTCAGAACTACATAGCCAATCAGAGTACATGTTACCTCAGTAAATATCATGCCATCATACAGGTTGCTAAGCAACACCTCCACCTGTCCCCCCTCTTGACTGATTGACATCAACACTCACAGAATTAACCCTTAAGTTGCTCACTGAATGATCTCTACTGTTGCCGTTCTAGAACCAGGGATTCTGCCAAAGGTAAGCTATGAAGATAAAACTGTAGGAAGCACAAGAAGTTGCCTCATGCATGTGCACTGGGAGGCAGTTCCAAGCTAATGAGGCTATAAGAGGGGAAAGAGTGGAGTCTTTTGAAGTGAGCAGGAAACGGTTAGATGGTGGAGGATGCAGGAGGATGGAAGAGTGAATCTCAACAGCAGGGGTATATCAGGATATAAGAGTGGAGGGGGCTGGTCTTTCGGTCTCTGCTTCCCCCAACCTCCATTCTACAATATGGGGAATAAGAATACCAGCGTCCCTGCCAGGGCTATTTTAAGAATTACAGAGATAATGTATGGGACACGCTTTGAGCATTTGAAATGTGCTATATAAACGCTAAGTATGATTGTTATCTAGACTAGGACAGATCTAAGTGCATGGTCCAACAACCATAGAATAGCCCAGAAGAATTGTGTTGGCATTAGGGTTTGCCGTTTTATTCTTTAAACGATGATGGAGAATCCCTTACTTTTCAACCAAACAGGGCCTTCTCTTCCCTTCGGTGTTGGGGGACTTCCTTGAGCGACTGCAGAGAAAGTTTCAAGTGCCCCCTAGTGGCCATGCTAACGATTGCACGTTGGGTAGCAGATGCACGGCTTGTTCTGAGCAGATACTAGTGTTCAGAATCCTCGATTATGGCTGCACCTAGAGATATCTGCACATCTCAGTGGGATCTGTAGCATCCATGGGAGAAAAGGTTTCATATAGCTGTGCCAGTGGTGTGCTGAGCTTCAACCCAGGGCACATTCGCACCACACATTTGAAGCACTACAATCCCACCCATGGCTTCCCCCAAAGAATTCTGGGAGCTGTGATTTGTCAAGGGTGCTGAGAGTCTCTCAGAGCTCCTTATTCCCCTCACAGAGCTGCAATTCCTAGAGTGATTTAACAATCAACCAGTCTTCCATGGGAACTCTGAGAACTAGCTTTGTGAGGGGAACAGGGGTTTCCTAACAGCGCTCAGCACCCTTAATGTTATGTACTGAGTTGAATAGGATCCAAAATGCAGCAGTCTGATTGGTCCTAGAACAATAGGATCCAAAATGCAGCACTCTGATTGGTCCTGGAACAATAGGATTCAGAATGCAGCTGTCTGATTGGTCCTAGAACAATGCAGCAGTCTGATTGGTCTGCAGGAGCCACCCAATCCAGCTCCAGATGGAAGTGAATCCACAACCTGATTGGCCTACAGGAGAACTCCGGAATTTGCCAATCACGTGCAGCCCATTGTGTAAATAATGTATATAAAGCAGATACTTTGGGGGAACATTCATTCCTCCTCACCGCTATGAGCTGAATAAAGAGCGTGAAATCCACTCTCGACTCTGAGTATATTTCACTTAACAAACAACAGCTCCCAGAATTCTTTGTGGGAAAGCCATGACTGTTTAAAATGGCCCACAAAACCAACTACCACACTCTGGTTCTGTGACTCAACAAACCTTCAGTTTGACCCTGTAAGGTGGTTTTTGTTTTTATTTTCTTTTTTTGCAAATTAACATGTTGATGTGATTGCCTCATTGGCCTTGTGGCATGCCCAATATTGCTGGGAGAATGAAGAGCCAATTGAGAGAGGTTGCCTGGTGTGCATGATGCTGACAGCTGGCTCTGGAGCCAGCAGCTGTGTGTTTACTGCATTTTTTCCAGGGCTCGGCCTCCATCATTTCTGGAAGAGAATCTAGAGAGGCACCTCTTTCTTCTCCAGCCAAGGTGCATGATGGGGCGGGGTGGGAAGGGAGCCTAGAGAGACAAAAGGGGTGGAGGTGAATTTCACACACAATCTGGAGACGTTTAAGAGGTCTGTTTGTTTCCTGGGCTTTATAGGCCTCTTTTGCCTAATAAAGTAATTTTTGAGCAACTCACATCACCCCTTAATTACTTGTCATAACAATGTGAGACAGCTCCTCATGGGCGCAGCTTCCAAGTCCGTCTCTAGGCAGGAGTGGTCAGTGGAGCGAGGAGAGGTTAAATATAGCAGCTCATTTACTTGACTCCTCGCTCGCTACAAACACACACACACAACCATGCGCTCAAATCCCAAAGCACGCTCCTCCACCCTTTTGTGTGCATGGAGATAGACTGTAGGAAGCATGTTGTCCTATACTCCCAGACACCCAACTCAGTTTCCGGGTCCAGATTTGGAATATAGGAGAATTCCTATAGAAATGGGAACAGAAGGTGCCTATGTTTGCTTATTCATCCCCTGTCCAGAGAGGGCATCAATCCAGCGAATATGATTGGCGTCCACTGTTGTTATTGAGTTTTTCTGTCTGCAAATGATATGCAATTGATATGCAGTTTCTTGGGACACGGGTGGCACTGTGGTCTAAATCACTGAGCCTCTTGGGCTTGCCAGTCGGAAGGTCAGCAGTTTGAATCTGCCCAATGGGATGAGCTTCCATTGCTCTGTCCTAGCTCCTGCCAACCTAGCAGTTCAAAAGCACACCAGTACAAGTAGATAAATAGGTACTGCTGCGGTGGGAAGATATACAGCATTTCTGTGCGCTCTGGTTTCCGTCACAGTTTTCCGTCGTGTCAGAAGCAGTTTAGTCCTGCTGGCCACATGACCCGGAAAGCTATCTGTGGACAAATGCCGACTCCCTCGGCCTGAAAGCGAGATGAGCACCACAACCCTATAGTCACCTTTGACTGGACTTAACCATCCAGGGGTACTTTACCTTTACTCCTTTTTTTCTGTAATTGATAATGTTTTCTTTTCTTCTTGCACTGTTTCCTTTGCATCAAAACTACCAGGGTGGAATGCAGTAATATTAACAGAATAAATTGCATAATGGATTATATAAAATTCTGCCACAGCAGACACCAAGTGGGAAAATTTTGCTTTGTCAGAAGCTGAGCTGCAGCAGAATGGAAACAGTGCTGCATGTGACAAATGTGGGTCTGAACAGAAGTGGATGCCTTCTTGCATCCCTATTCCAGATTGGTGGAGCACAGGGCAGGGTAGCAAGGGAAGTAACACTGAATTATTATATTCAGGCACCCCATCACATTGACCACTATGGGGTGAACCCCCTCTCTATAGATGTGATTGAGTAAAAATAAATGCTGCTGCCATCGGAGCTAATCATGGAGATGTCCTGAAGGGGGTGGTTGGATAGGGAAGGGGGGTGAAAAGAGTCCAATGACCCCAGGAAGGGTCCCAGCAAGTTGGGGGCAGGCATCATCTGATCCCTAGGAAGCCTCAGAGACAGCCAGGGAGAAGGCTGTAGTTGCAGAGCCCGATTCCAGGAAAGGAACAAGTGGGTTGTTAGAGAAGAGACCCACCCCTGTGCTGCTAGACACTTCCAATCCATACCCTCTGTGCAGGAAACACCTCTGATGCTTCCACCTATCAGTGAGTCTGCACCCACAGAGGGGACACCATATTACAAGGCCGGTGCTATCTCCTCCTCTTCTGCCTAGGACATGGAGACCCTGATGTCTGCGTGAACACACTGCCCTGGCACACACCACTCAAAGAGTGGCCCATTTGCTTGCCCTGTCCAAAGACTCCTCCCACTTGCCACACTAAAGCTGTGGCTGTGCCGTTCTTTAAAAGCAAAGGGCAGGGGACGTGTCACTTGCTGGATCAACTGGATTTTAGCTTACTTGGCCAATCATACTCAGGGTGCCTTTGAATCCCTGCTTACCTATTGTCAGGGACTGGACTGAAGAGGAATGGCAGAGGCCCCACCTCCTCCTGAACCTTCCCAGGAAGAGGAGGACAGTATAGATTTACAACGGTGGTTTGCAGAAGGTCATGACTCTGAGACAGAAGAAGGCTAGAGCTGGGAGATAATGGAAGGGGAGGAGTGGGAAGCGGCAGAGCATTAAACGTTTTTTGGAGAAATTGTGACACGAGTTCTAGTTCTCCAACCAGTGAGATGCAGGACACTCTGCAAGCAAGCTATAATCCCTGTCCTCACCCTGCCATTGAGCAATCTTTGCTAGAAGGGAAAGCGACACAGATTCACCCTGAATTGCATGAACATTTCCTAGCTCTGGTGGCACACTTGAAAGAAAAGCCGCCTAGAACTGTCTTTTTCATCATCCAATTCAGCCCGGGGAAGAAGAGAGTTCATGCATCCCAGTGGCTTGCCATGCATCTTTGCCTTGCAACACCATTGATTAATTGTAGGGAGAGCAAACTTTAATCTGCAATTCAAGCTTTACTTGATTATCTACTGATAAGCATCTATTAAAGCATGCAGCTCTGGGTTTTTTATATAAAAATCTCTACATGACGATCATTCCTTACCCGTCCTTCATCATAAGAACCCAGAGGGGCGGGGAGGGGGGGACTACAGCAATTTAAAAATACAATATTTAAATCAGTGTTGAACAAAGTACGGTCGCAAGAATAGAGTGGGTCCAAAAAAGTGGTATCTCAAATGTGTCAAAGGCCAGGATAAAGAGGTATAAGATGGAAACTATATAATGAAGGTGCCAGACACACCTGTGTGGGGAGTGAGTTCTAGAGGGAATGCCCTCCTCTGGGCTCCCACTACCTCAAATTTCTGAGGGTGGCAGATCGATCAAAAGGGACCCCTCTGCTTAGCTTAACACCCAGGAGAGTCTGCACAGAAAGAGATGGTCTTTCAGATACATGGGATCTAAGGCACTTGAAGAAGAAGAAGAGTTTGGATTTAATATCCCGCCTTTCACTCCCTTTAAGGAGTCTCAAAGCGGCTAACATTCTCCTTTCCCTTTCTCCCCCACAACAAACACTCTGTGAGGTGAGTGGGGCTGAGAGACTTCAAAGAAGTGTGACTAGCCCAAGGTCACCCAGCAGCTGCAT